AGAAAAGCGCGATACGAAAAGCGCGAAGGACAAAATCACGACGGAACAAAAACGCGACAGGACAAGTGCGCGATGGACAAAAACGCGACTGGATAGAAGCGCGAGGAACAAAAGCGCGAGGGACAAAAGCGCACGGCTGCGCAAAAACGCGACTGGATAAAAGCGCGACAGAACAAAATCGCGACTGGATAAAGCGCGATTGGCCAAGAACGTGAAGTGCCTTACTACGAGAACTGGACATCGTTTTCCAAAATACAAGATATTTTCGGTGGCTCCGGTTCAAAAGAACGATATTTAAAATAGCAACATCAAAAAGGCGACATATTGTTAAAGCGATATATCAAAATAGCGACATTTGGAACAGCGATGATATTCAAAATAGCGACATCTAAAAAAAACAGCAACATATCAAAAGAGCGACATATGTAAAGAACGAGATTTAGAACAGTGAAAAATTGAAAGAGCGACATTTACAACGACGACCTCTAAGCAAAAGAGGGAAACATCAAATTGTTCCAATATCAAAATTATGTAGACTTACTCAAACTAACCCAAACTAACCCGTCCGTCTAGGGCAATCTCGTCCTCGTGAGTTACCATTTTATTTAAAAAGCACTGCGCTCTCAAGAGACCCTGAGCAATCAATCAGTGAATTAACTTTGTTTTTTTAAATAAAATGCTTACGAGGACTAGATCGTACTAGGTGGACGGGTTATTTTGGGTTAGTTTGAGTAAGTCTGTATTGCGACATCAATTTGAACCAATAATAATAAAGCAAATACAGACTTGCTCAAACTAACCCAAAATAACCCGTCCGCCTAGTGCGATCTAGTACTCATAAGTTAGCATTTTATCCAAAAAAACAGTCAATTTATTTATAGCGTAGGGTCCCTTGACCGCGCCTGGTTTTTCAAATAAAATTCTATTTAACGAAGACAAGATCGCACTAGGGGAACAGGTTAGTATGGGTTAGTTTGAGTAAGGCTGCATTTTTCTGAATTTTATTGATACAATTTGATGTGTCCCTCTTTTGCTTACAGTCCTCGTAGATAGTTAGATACCTCGCGTTGTTGTCCAATCGTGCTTTACTCCAGTCGCGTTTTTGTTCCGTCGCGCTTTTTCTTCCGCGTTTTTGTCCCTCGAGTTTTTGTTCCGTCGCGCTTTTGTCCCTCGCGCTTTTATTATGGCGCTTTTCTCCCTCGCGCAAACGACTGTCGCGCAAATGACACAGAGCCAAGTTTATGGTTCGAATACCAGTTTTGACAGATGAATGAAGTTTTCTACCGACATTTTTATTGATACTGTTTACTGTTTTGCTAACTTGATGTCAAGTTAGCGAAATACATGATATTTTTTTCAAACGCGATATTTTCTTGTAGAAAAAGAGATAATTAGCGGCAAATTTCCATTCACTCAATTCATCACTACCGACATTTTTAGTGATCTCAATAACTTCACGTTAAATTAGGAAAACACTATTTTATTTTCGAACACGATTTTCTTATGAAAAGAAAGGTAGCGGCAAATTTTTAGTTTTCACATCTAATTAGCGGCAAAAAAACGGCAAATTTCCATTCACTCAACTCATCACTACCGACATTTTTAGTGATATTTGTCTCGCTAACTTGACGTCAAGTTAGCGAAACACATGATTTTTTTTCCAACTTGATTTTTTGTAAAAAAAAGGGCAAATTTTTGGTTTTCACAACTAATTAGCGGCAAAAAAACGGCAAATTCCCATTCACTCAATTTTTCATTACCGACATTTCTGGTGATAATATCTCGCTAACTTGACGTCAAGTTAGCGAAACAAATGATTTTTTTTCAAACTTTATTTTTTATGAAAAGAAAAAATAACCGGCAAATTTTTGATTTTCACAACTAATTAGCGGCAAAAAAACGGCAAATTTTCACGTACCTAGTTTTTTAGTGCTGACATATTTAGTGATGTTGTCTCGCTATCTTGACGTCAAGTTAGCAAAACACGTAATTAAGAAAAAAACCAAAAGAGCGGCAAATTTTTTAATTCCACATTTAATTAGCGGCAAAAAAGCGGCAAATTCTTGGCATAATGGAAAATCGATTTTTCGAAGTTGTCTCGCTAAGTTGATAGACATCACCTATTATTAGGTCTGTCAGAGTGAATTTCATTGGTTGTAACTAGTTTTCTGACTGTTTTCGACCAATCAAATTCGCTCTGACAAGTTTGTGATTTTTGCAGAAACAGTGTGATTTTTGCAGAAAAGTACCTGTATCTCAAAAACTAATCATAGGATTGGCTCGGGCCCATGAGAACTTTTTATCAGGAAATCAAGGTCTAACACATATCAAAATTTCATTGTGTTTGACAGAAAACCAAAAACCCATAAGAGGTGTGCGGGGTCCTTTGATTTTCAAGTTGAGACTAAATTTAAACTACAAAACATTTTAAAACTTACCATATATCTTTGGGCAGAGTCCCCTTTTTGAGGAATTTTTGACCATTAACTCCAAAATAAAAAGCCTCTGCTTCAAAATGGTTGGCACAGATTCTAGGATTTTTTATAGCTGGGTGGTTATCAGGGCTATCAGCCAACCCTAATAAGGAGAACCATTTTCTCTGTTCATCCAGATTAGTTGGAATACTAAAAGTTATATTTTTATTTATATTATGAGAATTAAATTCAAAATTAAGTAGATTTAATAATATTTTGAAAGCTAATAATTTCCGTTGTTAAAAAATTCGATTTTACTAATACACTTTGTTTGTTTAACACTATTAATTGACTAATTATTTATTAATTAAACAACTCTTTAACCCTTTGAAGAAAAAAATGTTAACTTCAACTGAAAAATCCTACACAACTAAGGACGTTGTGAGCGAAAGGGTAAAAGCGCTAATCTTCAGGACCATAATTTGAAATAAACAAAACAAAAATACTTAAATTAAAAAGTAAAAACTATACCCTAGACTTGATGAGAATAGAAATCAAAAAATACAAAATGCGCGTTGTTTGTCACCCGCCACTGTTTTTTGTTTACTTACCGGTGAAAACTCAGCTGAGGATTATGTCTGCTAGAAATTTTGCACACAAGGCACTTGTAACGGGCTAATACCATTGTTTATTAGAAAAAACTCACGAAACGAACGAAAAAATCACAAAATATTCGCTGGAAAATAAAGATAAATTTGTTTTGATCACCACAAATGTCAACAACGCACTAAAGAAGATCGCAAGACTCGACTGGAGTAGAGTCGAGGGGTGCGTTCTCAGGTAGCCGTTTGGTTGCTTATCCTTGTCTTGTATAAGAAGTTGGAAAAGGACACTCAGTTATTGGTGGTAAGTAGAAGATTTGAGGACGTTTAGTGTGATCGCGACCAAATGTTTTTCAACAATAATTTACTACGCCGAACAATGTGGTGTTTATAATGTGCATCAATGTTGGAGCAAAACAAACAGGCACCTTGTCCTGTCTCTACAGAATGTAGATATATAGTCTAAGCTATTAACCACTGGCGTATCCAGCCCATGCGTCTGGGGGGGGGGGTAATCAGCCCAGGCCAGCCTGCCGCAGGCACCGTCGGAGACGATTTTTTTACCGGGTGCCACGCTCGAAACCGTTTATTTTGAGCTTTTAAAACAATTTTTTTGTACTACCAACAAATAACGAAACCAAACTCTGGGGTTCCCCGAACACTTTTAAATTATAGCGAATTCTATACGTCTATAGGTAGAACCAGTGCGAAAAATGTATTTTTATCTCTTTCTCATGCAAACTAGTAGAAAAATACACGAATACACTCAGTGCGTATGCGGGCAGTGCAGTGCAGACACTGTGCAAACTAGAAAACAAGTCAGCCTTTAGAACGCAGTCACGTCGCAGAAGTCTGACTGTTCTATAATAGTTTTTTCGTCATACTGTACTATGGGCCGGTTTCTCAATAGCGAGTCACATCCGGGTTGGTTTTAACTTCAGGGGCCCAATTCTTGAAAAATATTGCATACGTAATTTGATATGATTTTGAACGCTTCCCATTTAATCTTTAATCTACATTGCTGTCAGTCAAATTCGAATAAAATTTCGATGCGATATTTCTCAAAACTTGGGCTACAGGTTAAACGTGTCCAGTTGCAAGCTTTACCCTGGAGTTATGGTTAACCCGGAGGTGACTTGCTATTGAGAAACCGGCCCTATAGCATGACCCAAATTGAAATCGAAAAGGTGTTAAAATATACCCCTAGACAAAATTATCGCACCACTGCACATAAGCATTACATAAGCAGTGGTGCGATAATTGTGTCCAGGAGTATATACCTAATTACCGGCCGCCGGCCGTGATTTTCAAACATACCCTTACATAGGAAGAGTGTATAACGTAAAAAAGTATGTAAGATAGATTATTTGAGGGTACATATTTATTGTTCATCGCGACGGTCTTGGGGGGGTAATTACCCCCATTACCCCCCCCCCCCCCCCCCTTGTATACGCCGGTGCTATTAACCCCTATTAAAAGTAACGTTTTCATCAGTGACAACATTGAATTGATGTTACTTTAAAAAAATAATTATAGTAACACCTCTGTTACTTTAGCCACGGCCATTCTAAAAAGGTTTCTAACCTGTTGTTTTCTACTTGACGTAGACACAATAGGTTTCGTGCGCGTGACGTCACAGAATAACCCTGGAGGTATAACAACATAACCTATACCATTTGTTTGTATATGTACAACGTGTTGGTTGATTGTTTTTTGAGTGTTTTATTTGGATTTTTTGAGTTTTAGTGGATAATTGTGTTTGGTTTGGATTTGTAAGAGACAATATTTTAGTAATAAGAAGACTACTTTGTGTTGCATTCATCGAAATTACGATTTTTGGTAAGTTTTAAGGACAAGGACTTTCTACCATATAATTTCTTTGTAATTTCTTTTTAATTCTAATAAAATCTAGCACTATATATTTATGTATACGATAATATTTGTATAATTCAAATTATTTTTCACAATACATTATAATTTTCAGCAAAATGGACAACAATCTAAGTACTTATGCCAAGGAGTTGCAAGGTTCTCATTCCATAAGATATTTGCAGAAGATATCTGTCTTGGGAGTGGATCCATACACTATAAACATTGAAAATTGTTCCAAACGCCTAGAAGACTTTCCTCCAACTTTTTACCCCGACATTGTAATGTATTTGGTACATACAAAAAGTGCATACACTATGGAAGAATTAAAAGCCTACAAAAGCCTTGAGGCTTATAATCAAGCTACTTGTGGTTGGGTGAAGAAAATTGGGGTGAAGGTGTTTCCATCTTATAAATTAGTATTAGGCAAGGTAGGTAACTGATTAATTAATCTGTGAGATGTTTTTAATTAATATATATTAAGTCTGTTTGTTCCACATTGTGCCGAGAATAATTTAAAAAAATATATTTAAGGTGATGCATTCGCAACGACTCAACGAAAAGCTACTGTCTCCATGGATAATCACTAACGAAGATGGAACTGTACATAGTGCTCACTGCGATTGTGTTGCAGGATTGGGAGAAGTGTGTACCCATATAGGAGCTGTACTGTTTTCTTTGGATGAAGCAGGAAGATCTAGGGAAGAAGTAACTAGGACGGGGGTGAAGGCTTACTGGATGCCTCCTACAAACAAACCAGCAGATCCATCAACTACTGCCAAAATTGATTTCAGAACTGCAAAGCAAAAATCCCAGGACAAACCTATATTCCAAAGAGAAGAAGTCAGATTGGCTGTTCTTGCGCCTTCAAAAGAAGACCAAATGTCCCTTCTTGAAAATTTGAAGCAAGCAGGGGGTTGTGCCTTGCATAATATAATCCCTCCATTCTCCAAAGAAGTACACAAGGAGATTGAGGAGAAAAATCAATTGTCTTTTCTCCGTTTTTATAAGCAAGAGTATGAGACAAAGTCATTACAGGAATTGAGAGAATTGGGTAAATAAAATGCAAATGTAGGTAATCGATTTGTTTAAATAACGTTTATATATTATTTTAGGCCAAAAGTTGCAAGTTTTTATGTCCATTGAAGACTGCAAAGTTATTGAAATAGAAACGAGGCAGCAATCGAAATGTAATTCTTGGTTTACTCACCGTCTAGGAAGGATCACTGCATCTTTATTTAAAAAGTGTTGCAGGACCAAAATTGATAAGCCTTCCATATCTTTGATAAAAAGAATTTGTTATCCCACTAAACTTCGGGTGAGGGCAATGGAATATGGCTGCGAACATGAAAAGTATGCCTTGAAAGACTTCCTATCATATATGACACAACAACACCATAATTTCCAAATTAGGAAATGTGGTCTCTACATAGATCCTGAACTATGGTTTTTTGGTGCTACTCCAGATGGCATAGTTTCTTGTAGTTGTTGTGGTGTCGGTGTCTTGGAAATAAAATGCCCCTACTGTGTCCAGTTCAAAAGTATATTGGATTTAACCCAGAACAAATATTCCTTTTTAAAGGAAGTGAATGGTGAATTGCAAATTAAAAAAGACCATGATTATTATTATCAAGTGCAAATGCAAATGGCCATAACAAAATTGAAATATTCCTATTTGGTAGGATGGTGCAGAAAAGACTTTGCATACTGTAAAATTGTTTTTAATTCCAGTTTTTGGACCGACAATAGTGATATTGCAAAACAATTTTTTTTCGATATAATCTTGCCAGAATGTCTAGGCAGGTATTATAGCAGGCAAACCAATGTTTTGGCAGAATTTCCAGAAGAAGAAATAGAGGAGTCTCCTGAGGAGTCTCTTGACATCGATTTATACGAAGAACTAGTTTTTACAAGCGAAAATGTAGAAGAAGTGTCATCACCAAAGCCTGGACCAAGTAATGTTCCAAAGGAGAAAGAAACTTCTCCAGAACCAGGACCCTGCAAGAAATTATATTGCATCTGTAGGGAAGAAGATGATGGTGTTACTCCAATGATTGCCTGTGAAGCAGAAATGTGCAGAATAGAGTGGTATCATCTCAAGTGTGTAGGTTTGTCAAAAATACCCAGCTCAGTTTGGATTTGTGACATTTGCAAGGCTTATTCTGATTCAGAATAGATTTTTTTACATTTTAAAAGTTTGTTTATTTATTTATACCTTACTAAAATATTTAATGAAATAAAACCACATTTTTTGTATTTGTCTATGTACTATATTTTAATTTAGTCAGTCAATACAATACAAAATTCCTTATTTTCAAGTGTGTTACGAACAATATTATATAAAAATAATTAACACAAAATACTATCACCAAAAAGAAAGAATCATTTTTTTAAAGTTTTAATTATTTCTCTTAATTTGATTATTAATAAAATAAGAAAAATTAATATTTGGTAACATAGTTGGTGGATCGGTTCTATTCGGAGTAGAAGTTACTTCTGTGAGTCTTCTGTTTCACAAGCAAACTTACAGACTCGTCACAAAAATACCACTTTTACTCCTGATAAAACAATAATGCTATTTTTCTATTCAATTTAATTGAAGCATTTGTAGACATTTGCCATTGTCCATTGATATTAGACATGTCAATTGTATATACCCCTGTCCAATCTTGTTTTTTTTAGAGCCCCTAAAAATGTATTTTTATTATTAAGTGAGAAGATTCTTTTATATACAAATTTATTTTATCATTTAAAATTATTTTTTAAGCAGTATGATTAGAGCTAATGCTTCTATAACTTAACTATTTAAGCTTACCCATTCAAAATTTATAAAAATGCCTATTAACTATACCAACTAGCTATATTTGCAGTGATCTTAGTATGTATTTTAAAAAATGGTCTGTTCTAAGTTGAAAGAGGGCAACGGTGATGATAGATGGTTCTGTTTTCATTAGGCTTTAGGAATTGAACATTAAAATCATCTGCAATGACTGCAATTAATATTTTTTGTTTTTTTTGTTTGCATCAACGCAGTTACATAGGATATTTTTAAAAATGTTTTGTTTCCTGTTGGTGGCCTATAAACAAATTATTATGTCGGAAATAATTTTAAAACTGAAAAGTAAATGAAAGTAACACAAGCCTTCCTCCTCAAAATACTTTAATTAACTCTCAAAGAGCCCTACATGTTGCCCCTGATGATGAGGCTTTCTAGCTTTGGAACATAGAGCTCTTTAAGAGTTAATTAAAGTATTCTGTGGAGGAAGACTTTGAGTTTTCTTTTTGAAATGAATTAAAGATTTATTTATTAAAAAGAAATTAAAGTGGGATTATGCATGGGCATAAATTGAGCATAGCTGAACAAACTACAACAATTTTATCTATTTGAGCCACATCAGGGCTTCCTTTACGTAAAGAACTTAAGGGAAATTCTTCTGTCAATATTCTATATTTTCGTTTAAGGTGACCTATCACTCTTTCTACATGTATCCTGACACTTGCCAATTTTCTAGTTGTTTCTGTGTCATTGGCGTCTAACTGTTTTTTTCCCTTTAAAAATGCTGGATACATTACTTTAGCAGAATATATCTGTACACTTTCGTCAATAGAAAAACCCCTATCTGCTAAAATTAAATCCCCCCTAATTAAATTATTTAAAAACCCCGAATCTTTTGTTATAAATTTATCACTTGCTCTGCCTCCATAAGCATTTGAAATGAACATTATAGTGCCTTGTGGTGATATGCCTATTAAAAATTTTATAGTATGATGGTGTTTATAATTTGACCATAATTTTGCAGAAGCTTCTAAATTTGAGGGCTTTTGGACAAATAGTTCAAAACAATCTATTATCACTGTAACCTTGTTATCAAAAATATTCCTGAAGCATTTTGGCATATTAAGTTGGAGATCCTCTCTTGAAGGCCATGTTATAAAGCATTTTAAGCGGGCAAATAAAATATTTAAAACATTTTCAAACGTTCTTGAAGCTGTAGTTCTGTGGCAAAGAAATCTATTTCCTAAATCTGTAAACTGTAAATTAAGCCTTAGCTTCATTAAGGTAAGAATAAGTTGCTGAAATTGTGATAACACATTATTTGAGGACAAAAATGGTTGAATAAAATCAAAAACACTCTTAAGATAATCAAATTTAGGAAATCCTGTGTAATAGTTTACTCTCTCATCATTATTTTTAAAATAGGATTCATTCAGCATGTAGAGTGACAGTTTTGATTCCAAATTATAAATTTTTTTATTAGCCGTTCTCAAGGCTAAGGACAGATCTTCCGTGCTTGGATTTTCTGCAGTATTTGCAATATTTGAATTTGCAACTTCATGCTGAACTGCTGGTTGATTGTCATTAGGTTCAGTTTCTGTGTTTTCTGCTTCAGCCTGAAATAATCTTAATAATTATATAAAACAAACAAAATAATGTCCTTTGGGCCTCTAGAAAAAAAAAGCAAAGCTTGGTAATGTACCCTAGTTTTACATCCACATTAAAGTAATGGTCCATTTTGCTCCTACAACAAAAAAAAATAAAAGCATTGTAAGTATTAGTATTAAATATATGCAATAGCATTTCAAGCCAAATGTTAATTCTTTTTCACTCAATTTTTCATGCAGTTTAAAATACCTTTGACCTGTTTTTAGCTCTTTCGAATCGATTTAACGACTTCGAAAAATAATTTTTTTTGTAACCCATATTCACATTAGGCACCCAGTCTGGATGATCTTTTTCATGCAGATCTGATGGCTCACCTGTAAAAAATCATCAGTTTATCCCCAATGTTACCCTTTAAGACTTAGTAATTTAGAAACCTATCAAATAAAACGCATACATTTGGTACCTGATAGTGAAAGAACTATATAGATAAAGGTTTAACTTAAATTACCCACCCGATTGAAAATGTTTAGAACAAACGCGTGCATATTTTGCCTTTTTGTTATTAAAATCTTCTCTTTTTAGTGCCAATATCCACTTTTGCAAACGTTCTGAGCGAAGTGGGCAAACTTTTCTATCTGCACCAAACACAGACGGAAATCTACAAAAATCCCTTACATTAAAAAAGCACTGATATTTTATTTTATTTTAGTTTTATATTCAACAAATCCTGTACCTACAGTTTATCGAGGAAAATAAAGGATCACTTACTTCGATGAAGGTCTCGAGGAAGATCTAACAAAATGTTGCCCCAAAACAAAAATAAGTAAAGTATTACAGACTGATAGTATAATAATAATAATACTGATAGTATAATAATAAATTACTCACCTGAAATACTTTATACCTATTGTTTTGGCTGCATTGCTATTGCATTTTACAACAGCACAGTATGAGGGCATTTTTACAAAAGTTTAGCTTGTGGGATCTTGAAATACACTTTCAACAAACTTAATAAACGATTACTGTTTAATTTCAAGGGTTTACCATTTCAAATTACTCCCTAATTAGCGAGTAAAAGTGAAAACAAATTTTAAAACAATAAATTTACAATGAAAACAACATACAAATGTTGGGTTATTGTACCTCCAGGGTAGTTGACAGGTCACGTGCTGCACGAAACCTATGAACTATAGCCAAAAACTGGAATGCGCGCACATTGCCATATCTACCCAAAAAATGAAGCCATGAAAGACAGATGCCACAAGGGGGAATGTTGTTTTTTTCTGTTGCTCGCTGTCATATGACGTTTTCGAAAGTTTTGTCATATTTTCCTTCACAGGTTTCATCAATTGGATTACGTGTTGGAAGCAATTTTCGCCATTTAACATAATAAGTGCGACAAAAACAGGTATCCCCTCCGCAGCAGCTGCACTAGGCTTCACGTTCTTCCTTATATGTTAGCATTCCAGTTTTTGGTTATAGTTCATTGCGTAGACATAAAGACATAACCTGAAAATCCTGAAATTAGGAGCAAGGATATTACCCAACATCTGGCAAGGATATTACCCAACAACTAGCAAGGATATTACCCAACATCCACGTCATCATTTGTCAAATTTCAAAATGACCATAAATGAGCGCGAAATTCAAATATTCAAATTTAAATTCCTACTAAAGCCAAAAAATTTAGTTAAGTACCAAAAATTTTTCGACCAAGGCGCTATTTTAGCCTGCGGCGCTGTCCCTCTTAATTTGACCCACCTGTAAAAAAACTCACGAGCCGCGCCTGTTAGCTAACCACTCTTGCTTGTTCAATGCTTCCTAATCTATTCCCCCTTCGAGCAGTGCCAGATTTAGGGGGGGGTTCTGGGGGTTCCAAAAGACCCGGCGGTAAAATTTTAAGTGGTGGTAGAAGGCGGCTTCGCCGCCCTTTCTCTTCCATAATATTTATAAAAAAAAACTCCAACAATCATGTTATAAGGTCTGTTCCAATCCGCCAAAGAACCGTCCAGAAACGGTTTCGGATTTTCGGAACCACTCTGTATACCAATTTCGGATTCTTCGCACAAATTTTACGTATTGCCTAGAATCCTGATGGTGAAATGTACGGTTCCCTGCTGGGTTCGAACAAAGCTACCTATTAATTTTAAATAAATTAATAAACAGATGTTGGTAGTCCGGTCGCGGCTGCGGCAAAAAGATAAATTGTAATTTCCTGATATGAAAGTGCGGTTTTGTTCCAAATTAAACAGTTACGTACCCGGAATTCTTTAACCAAGTTATTAAAGGCAAGAAAAATGGTAAATTTGATAAGATTTGTTCAACAAAACATTCCCAATTCTGCTTGAAAAAGTGCTTCTAGAAAGTTTCTACGGAAATCAATTATTTACATAAACAAAAAAGTTATGAAGGTTTCACAGTATTGCTCAAAATCGAGAAATGCCCTCTAGCGGCTAAATGGTTGAAGATATCAAAATGCGGTTTGCACCAATCCAGACTTTATGAAATTTGAGCCTCGAAGTGGGGGGTTCATTTTTTTGTATCTCGCTCAGAAATTGACGTTTCCTATCAAAACCATCATGTACCGGGTGTTTTTTTATCTTTGATATCATTTTGATCACCTGTAATTTTTTTGTTTTTGACGTTATCAAGGTGAACAAAAAAACAAAATATAGGGTTAGTAGCCAAGTTTTTTTTCAAGTTACACATAAAACAAAACACTATCAATTTTTTGACATATAGGCCTACAATATATTTTTTTAAATGGAACACCCTGTATATTATATGCGTGTTCGATAGAATATTTTATTCTGATTACAATGATATAACACACTTCATATTTTGGTCCACTCGTTTTTGACAAATCGGCAAAAATATAAAGTGAAACTTATTAGGCAGGGTTCTGATATGTGGGACGAGAATTATTGAGATTATTGAGAGTATATATAAAAATTTCATATTTTTTTGTTGATTTGTCAAAAACGAGTGGACCAAAATATGGAGTGTATTATATCATTGTAATCAGAATAAGATATTCTATCGAACATACATATAATATATAGGGTGTTCCATTAAAAAAATATAATGTAGGCTTATATGTCAAAAAATTGGAAGTGTTTTGTTTCATGTGTAACTTGAAAAAAATCTTGGCTACTAACCCTACATTTTGTTTTTTTGTTTACCTTGATAACTTCAAAAACAAAAAAGTTACAGGTGATCAAAATGATATCAAAGATAAAAAAACACTCGCTACCTACATACTATGCCAATGTCCTAACCTTAGATGGCAAACACAGCGGCACTTTGGGACACATTTTTGGAAACCATAGGAAATCGTAAAAGCGAATATCGGGACATCCTAGGTTTTACTAAGGGATTACCTGATATGAAAACTTCAGAGGGCCAATTTTTATGTTTTCAGAAGCACAAAAAAAATGGAAATTGACGTGTCCGAGAGGAAAGTCAGGAAAGTGTTAATTCGAGAATAACAGGGTCAGTAGGGACAGTGAATATCTTGAGAGCTAATCAGTCGATTTAACAAATAAAAATAAAAATACGCAGTAGTGACGAGAATCAAAATACCATTAAATAGGGATATAAAATGACGGTCATTTATTTTTTGTGATAGGTGACTGTCATTTTTTGGTCATTTTTGTCATTTATTGTCATTTACCTTCAATGTAGAACATAACATAACCTAAATCAATAATCAAATATCTGATTCGTTGAGTTAAGTTCTTCTCTTCAGTTTGACAGTCATCAACATCAAAGT